GAGCTTCTCACCCTATCTCTAACCCCCAAATTCCACTACCTCCGCTCCGCTCCGGTCCGCCCCCGCCTTCTGCAGCCGCTCGCTTCCAAACTCAATTTTTCTTGGTACCCGCTCTACAACGGCTCCGCTCCGGTGCGGAGACCTGAGGTGAGCAAACGAGCATGAGCGGGATTTTCGAGATCTTGCGATACAGTCCGAGCAATAAACGCGGAAGTTAGATCCAAACACCCGTTGTGTGGGAGAAGCATCGAAATGAACTGTTTAATCTGCCCATCATGTGTGTTGAGAGATCAGCAGTGTTTGGATCAACAAAGTGTGACTACATTGATAGTGGAAACTGTATTTATGGCTTACTTTTGTGCATTTAAAGTTCAGCCGCCACTGATAGTTGTTAAAAGTTGTTAAACCTGTGCATATGAAACAAAAAACACCTTTTGTTTATCGATTGATTGTGAAAAACGGAAGTTGTGCTTGCTCCTTTTCCTGTAGGACGGTTGTGATTTCTGTCCATTTACCGCAGAGGTGCTCCGGCATCCGGCAAAAATAGGATCGATTCTATTTTTACCGGACGCCGGAGCACGGCCGCAGTAGTGGAATTGCTCTGATTGACTACAACAGGACCGATTTTGCTCCGGCGTTCGTGTCGGAGCGGAGCGGAGGTAGTGGAATTTGGGGGTAAGGGAGAGCCCAGCCAGTCTGCAGAGAAAACTCATTTCGGCCGCTTGTCCTTGATCTCGTTCTTTCGGTCATCACCCAAAGCTCGTGACCATAGGTGAGGGTAGGAACGTAGATCGACCGGTAAATCGAGAGCTTCGCCTTCTGACTCAGCTCTCTCTTCACCACGACAGACCGGTACAACGCCCGCATCACAGCAGACGCAGCACCAATCCACCTATCTATCTCACGCTCCAGTTTTCCCTCACTCGCGAACAAGACCCCGAAATACTTAAACTCCTCCACTTGGGGCAGGACCTCATCCCTGACCCGGAGAAGGCATTCTACCCTTTTCCGAATCAAGCTTTTGTAGTTCGACCGGCAAAAATCTCTAGAGCTGTTTAAAGAGCGTGTAACACCTAAAATCAACCTTTTGTTGCTGATAACCTACTCTGATGAGTCTAATGGTGCTGTAGACATGTGTAATCATTATTTTGACAGTTTAGTGCAACTTACCTAAAATGTAATATTTCAGCCCAAAACCGTAATGATCTCTCATCTTCAGGTTAAAACTCTGCTGATTGCTGTAGGGCTGCAGAGTGACGTCTGTACCGTACGCATCATTTGGAATTCTAGGATGTCCAAAGAAGATTCCACCTTTCCCGCCTCTGATTGGCTAGAAAGGCTTTACGATTGGCTATTTAATTTAGCAGCAAACCGGCTGTCCTCGCTAAGTGCCGACTGTCCTTCTGCCACCAGCAAAAAGCTGTTTCGGGTAGTTTTGTAAAAAAAAATGTGAATTTAGCGCTATAATAACCATTCTGCCCAGTATGGGCTTGTCGTCACTCATGATTCCCCGTCCCTCTCTGTGTAGCCACGCCCACTAGGCCAAAACAGGGCCAAACGTCTGTAACAGAAAAATACAGATCCGAAAGTGAAAAAATAATCTGAACCTGAAGACATTTTTTGTACATTAATTAAAAAGTTCTGAATCTGAAAAAATGTAATCTGAGACTGAATGGATTTTTTTTTAATTTAAAAAAAAAATACTGAATTTTTTTTGTAAAGTTTACTAAGAAAAATTCTAAATAAAAACACCATTGGGGTTTCAGTTCATAGAAATATTCCAAACGTTTGATTTTATTTTAAATCCAAGTCTTTCTTTTTCAAAATTCACTCTAAAAATGTGACTTTTGCTTTCAGTTTACATATTTTCAATTTCAAATTTTTCTTTTAACTACACAAACATTATGGACCTGATTTAAGTCCATACCTAGGGGCTGCAGGACTTAATTATTTTAAAAGTCGACAGTCAAGTAATGAAAATCGAGTCGACTTTGACTAGTCATTGATGACGTTGTTTTTTAAAGACAAATTATTGATTTTTGCCACCATCTTCCCTTATTTACACTTTCCCCACCTAAACGTTTAAAGGCCAACCTTTGTCCCTGCAGCCCCGCATCTTTTCTGGCGCCTGGTGTTTTCTGGTGGTAAATCCAACAAACACCGACATTAATATGAGGAAGAATTTTAAATAGTTTCACTAAAAAAAACCTGCAGCTCCAGATTTTGACTTTAAGACATTTGATGCAGAAATTAACTTTAAATGCTGCAGCTGGAGTCGTAGGAAGAAGACACACACACACACACACACACACACACACACACACACACACACACACACACACACACACACTTATAACTCCCTCTATGTTTCACAGAGCACCAGGCTGCTTTCCTTTCTGCTAAATCGTGATTTTGTTTTCATTCTTTTTCCAGAAAGAACCTCTGTGAACATTTCACTTCCAACCAGAGGCGGAGCTGGCCTAAATGGCGCCCTGTGCGAGATCCCCCGTGACGCCCCCCCCCCCCCCCCCCCCCCACACACACACACACACACACACACACAGACACACACACACAAGAAAAAAAAATTACACCTACAACTTTGTTTCAAATTGCGTGGAGTGTATTATATATAACAACGTTTGCTAACTGAATACAACATCCAGCCCCTGGCCACCTTCTCACCACTTGTCAAAGTTCTACTGAAATAGTGATGATGACAACACCTGCCATCGCCTTCATTCCTGGGAAATATGAAAGTAGTTGGCACCTTGGTAGGTCCTCCTCAAACTAGCTCTGTGCGTATGCTGTCGGTAATTGGTGATGGCCACTTGGCTGGGTCTGAAGAAAGAGGCTCATCATCACCTTCAATGGGACTCATTGGTTGATCGTTCAGGCTTCTCTATTGACAGAAAACAGAAGCGTAACTCAATACATTGCTATTTGGACCATTTCACATATTCTATTAAAATACAATATGTGACATTCAAATTTCTCTAATGTTTGCAGGACACACACACACACACACACACACACACACTTGTGCAAAACTTACCTGACATATCTGGTTGGGGAGACGTGGCAGCTGGCTGTCCCTCATCAAGTTCACATAGACTGGTAGGTCTCTCTATTGACAGAAAATGGAAGCATAACTCACCACATTGCTATATGGAACAATTCCCATATTCTGTGAAAATACTATTTAAATGTCTATAGCTAAATGTTTGCTGGACACACACACGTGTGCAAAACCCACTTAAAGTATCTTCCTGGGGAGATGTGGTGCCAGCAGACTGTCCCTCCTCAAGTTCAAATACTGGCCTACTGGTATGAGCAGTGGAGGTAGATGGCTGTTCCTCAGTGGCAGCTGATGTCATCCCAAAATATCTGTGTAGGGCTCCTGATGTTGCATAAAACAAACAATACAATCTTCATGTCACATCTGTTGCTTAAGCATTTTAATTAACATGTTACAATGAGCATTTACAGTTTTCAGCAGTGGTGGAAAGAATTCTGAAAATCTGTACTCAAGTACAAGTACTGTTCCATTGCTAAAATATTACTCATTTACAAGTAAAAGGACTGGTGTTAGAGAAATACTCAAGTAAAAGTACAAATTATTCATAAAAACCTCAGAGTATTATTTATTTTTAACGGCTGATGTCACCATCACTTCTCCAGACTGGGGCTGCCTGGAAATTGTGTGTTTTCCTTTACCAAAAGTTAAAACACCAACAATCTATTAATCATTAATAATTGATAAAATACAAAACAAGTGTTTTTCCCTCGTTTATTTGTCATTTTAAGTTTTTATTTCCTTATTCAGCAAATGTCTCCGGCACACAAAGAACTAAATGACCAGAGGAGCCACAACTATTGATTAAATATCCATGAATCCATTTTAACTGGTTAAATTCTTCAACTCTCCCATGCTGCTTCAAGGTCACTGTGAGTTAACATAGCCGTGGTGTGCTGTGCAGCACACTTAACGCAACACGATGACATCATCGACTTGTACAGTGCTGAAAGGTGAGACAGTCTCAACTTTCAGCTAAAAAAAGACCGCTCTAGCTATTATAGTTTTTATGTTATGGCAGTTTACTGCCATAACCGCTGCTGCTTCGTTTTTCATGGGGTAAATAATACGTAGCTCATTTCCCGAGTCCAAAAAGAAAGGCGAATGGCGCCGGCGCGAGACCTGCCGCCCGCTGTCAATGTATTTCAGCAAAATTCTCAAAGACTCATTTTAATTTGATAGCGTTTGGTTATCAGCCTTTCGGTTTTCCCACTCTTAGCTTTTCATAAAAGCTCATTTGACAAAGAAAAAGTTAGCGGTTGGAAGTAGTTCTAAATACATGCAACGTAAGACGCTAGCAAAAGACATTTGAAGGGATCATAGCACCATGCAAAACGTACAGATTAGAGAGGTTAGTTAATCAATAAGTTGGGGGACAGGCGGGAAAAATACCAACTAAATAATAAAGAGATGCATACCTGCATCTTTTCCTCGTTTCTCCTCCTCTTCTTTTCTTTTTTTCTGAAATTGGGCACCAGATGGCTTCGACCGCTTCTTCTCCATTATGTTTGTGAGCGGTGATATGTGAAACGGTACCTGTATCCCTCCATCATCACTCTCTGAGATCCCTCCGCCCCCCACCTGATGAAGGGCGCTATAGAGCACACTACAGAGGCGCGGCGGACACAAGGGGGCGCAATAAAATCCCAATATAAACGCAAACAATGACTTTGTTGTGCTTTTATTACAGAAATATTATTATTATCATCACTCATCACTATTATTATTATGAAGAACATGTGATTTCTATGTTTTGTTGATGGTTGATGGAAGAAAAAAAAAAAAAAAAAAAAAAATTAAATGCCGCCCCCTCCAGACTGCCGCCCTGTTCGGCCGCACATGTTGCACATATCAAGCTCCGCCACTGCTTCCAACTGCCCATGATTGGTTTGCAGGACTTGTGTTATGTTTGTGTTTAATTCAGGTTTCACGTCTCACTGCTGCAGGAGCAGCAGCCATCTCTGCAACCAGAGCAGGAATCCCTGCATGGAGAGGATGGATGAATGGAGAAGAAAATTAGCTTACGCACCAACTAAACACACCAAACATGTGGGCTGAAACAAAAGGAAGCTCGCCGAGGGCATCTCAGAAGAACCAACAGGAGTTTTAAGCTGCAGCTGCTTTTTCCCCTGTTCTGAATTGTTGGATCCGTCTGAAAACAAGTGATCTGTGTCTCAGCTAAATCCTTCAGAGTCATATTTTGTTGCAACATGACAAACTTTGTTCATCTTGTAGTGAATTAGTGTCACTGACAAGCCTGAGCGGCTACTTCACTAAACATTCCTTGATTTAGCACCAAGAGTTTCATCAGAGGAACGCTCGGAGGGACGAGGATGTTCGGAGGTGATTCCTGAAAGGGCAGAGTCAGCATCCTCTGAGGAGGAGACGCTCATAAAGTGGTTGTTGTGTTTGTTGTGTTTTTGTTTATCTTTCTCATTGATGATTGAGTATTTTGTCGTTCTGGGCTGAGTTTTGCTGTTCGTCCTGTTCACTGCACACGGCCGGTCCGATCATTAGCACCAGCGTTCAGTCTTACATTTGGGTTTTCCCTTTTTCAGGCATCTCCAAACATCTTTACAGCAAAGTGACAAAAAAAAATGTCCCCAAATGCAGGCTGAAAAAACAATTTCACCTTTTTTCTGGTGACAGATCTGTTGGGATTCAGCTCATGGCAACAAACCATTCATCACATCTAGAGTTTCCCTTCTCACTTTATTAAGGACAGGAGGGTAAAAAATGAGCATATTTGTTTAATTTCACTTTGTTTCATGAATAATTATTGTTGTAGTCAGAGTGCAACACCAGCTGTTGCCCTTTTACCGGCGACAATTACGTTTCATGAGTTAATCATTGGGAGTCCTTCACTTGTAATAAAGGACGAATATTAGTCACTGATGCTGCAGCAGATGGTTTCAGCTGATCCACTGCATCATCGATGAGGAGCATCAACGGATCTGAAACAGACCCTAAACTTTCTCATCAACACCGCTTCTATCAACTCCATCACTATAAATCTTTGTAATAATGAAGGGATTAACCTTCAGTACTCTGATTTGATCATTTACTCAACAACATAACTGTAATAAAGAAATAAAATAGGCCTTTCCTACCTATAGATCCTCCACCAGGGGGCAGCAGCCATTAAGAGGATTGGATAAGACAGGTTACTGATGAAGGTACTAATCCTGATGCTCCATCTGGATGATCTAAGGTCAGAATTTGTGTGAATCACAACCATTAACTCAGCTCCCTTTTTTGCAGCACCAGGTCATCTACGGCAAGCTGACTGGACCACTAATGGCAGCCCTGGTCTAATGAGACCCATTGGCCACTTTGATATGAACCTGGAAGTGTTTTGATGTGTTCGTGAGCATTCAGGTGAAAGAGCATAACGTTTCTGTCCTGTTGCTCTTCTGTCTATCCGCTGAATAATTCATCAGTGTTGTCAGAACTCGGGGAACGCCATAAATTAATTTGAGCTTTTGGGAAGTATTTCTTGAACCCCGAGGTGTCATCTGCTGTGCATCAGAATGCTAATGCTCTTTAAGTACTCCAGTGGTACTAAGAAAGTGCCTCCTTGTTCATGTTTGAATGCTGAAGTAGCAGAGACCATTTTATTGCCTCAGTAAGGAGCCGGTGGCTTACAGGAGGAACAATCGCATCGTCCCTCAGGTAGCCGCTCCATTTTCCATCGGCATTATCCGATTTCTGAATCCATCTGAAACACTTTAGGAACTAACCACTTTCGGTGGAGACCAAGCGGGAAGCTCCCACAGCTCACCTCATCTAATTTCCAAAGACACATGCTGGTCCGCTCACAGACCCGCCAAAGCCTCGTGGAGTTTCACACACATTTTCTACATTCTCTAGGGAGCAGTCCTCCCTCATATGTGTGTTAATGAGTCACTGCCTCAGCAAAAACCAAGCCTTGGACAGAACCGAAGGTCTGGAAGAACCGAACCTTCCCCCAGAGACTCCCCCTGTCAAGACACGTCTCTCCTCTCCCAACCTGATAGTTTTCCTGCAATTTTTCAAGTCAGCGTTTGCAGCAAAAGACTTTGTCCAAACTCAGCTCAAGGCAGTGTGTGTGTGTGTGTGTGTGTGTGTGTGTGTGTGTGTGTGTGTGTATTGCAGATAAATGAGCGAGCTTCGTCTTCGCTCTGCCTGACCCTGCTGACTCAGCATGTCGTCAGCTTCTCATTTAGTTACAACAGGTTTGCAGAAAACTTGTTATTGACGAGGCTAAACTGTCATTCATTTGTTTATTTGTTTATTTGTTTATTGAAGGATCCCCATTAGTCTTCACAATAGTGAAAACTATTCTTCCTGGGGTCCACTTGATAGAAGAAACAAAAACAAAAAGAAAACACATACAACATCACATAGACAGTGTAGGATTAAAAGTGCAATATTTCATATACAATGTGAGGAAAAACACAAGAAACTCCTATAAACAACCTCATAAAACAAAATCATAAATAAGCACTAAAAAGTCTATTTAAAAATGGATCAATAAAATGACAACAATAAAAAAGTATTGATGTCAGGGTGTTAATTCTACAAATCTAAAATCTATTAATCTTATTGAAATAGCTGTAACTGTTGTCTGGTATAAGTTTGTTTTTCTCATTTCTTGAGATTCACTTTAAACGCATCATGAACAGCTGCTGTTGAGAAGGATAAAATTTTGAAATCCTGCAGCATTATCACTTGTACTCAGGGCTGGACTGGGACAAAAATTCAGCCCGGGCATTTTGACTGGAGACCGGCCCATCACCTGTTTTTTTTTTGGAAAAGACATTAAGCCTTATGCTGTTTCTGACACACACCAACGTACACTTTCTTATTGGTAGTATTTATGTATCAATCTAATAAACGTAAACCTACACCATCCTTCCTATCCTGGTATTCTAAAAAGTAGGGTTGGGGGTAACTGATTATTTTTTAAATGATTATTCTGACGATTATTTTATCGAATAGTCGACTATTCTAATGACTATTTAGATGATTAATCTAGCGATTACTTTTCTATTGCACAATTAATAAAAACCAAAAAATTCTCAAATAAATTCCTCCAAAAAATTGATAAGTTGTTACTGTAAGAGAATAAACACTACAGGCCTTCCATTTTGTATAACACTGCTTTTATTGTGTTGCGGTTGTTTATGTTCTGGTGACGTGTAGAACTTGGGAGTGCAGGCTGCTGCCTGAGAGGTGGTTGGAGACGGAGTGTCTCCATGCTGCTTTGTTTTGGTCACTTATGTGCGTGAGGCGAGTGGTGTTACGACCCTTCCTGGGGAGTCACGTGTATCTCCTATTTTAACTGTAAATCCTTCTAGCTGTTATATTTATAACAAGAAACAGATATTCGGACAGAATATTTGCACGTTTATTCGAATATGATTGTGGAACACACCCAGCATCATAATAAATGAAGTAATATTTATGCCAATTTAAGCCTTTATGGGTGACCAGGACTCTGTGTTTATGAATGTGGAAGACACCCAGCATCCTGTGATGGCACTAATAACATCAAGAGATAATAAATAAGGTAATATTTAGGTCAATTTAACCCTTTACACGTGACCAGGACACTGTAATCAATTTTTGGCAAGGGAAATGATCATTTGTTGCCATTTTTGAGGTGTTTATGAATGTGAAAGACACCGGCATCCTGTGATGGCACTAATAACATCAAGAAATAATAAATAAAGTAATATTTAGGTAAATGTAACCCTTTACAGGTGACCAGGACACTGTAATCAATTTTTGGCAAGGGAAATTATCTTCTTTTTTTTTTTTTTTGCCATTTTTGGGGTGTTTTTGATGACACAGTAGGCAGTATGAGTACAGTAACATCAACAGATAATACATAAAACCCTTATTTGGTCAATTTTAGCCTCCATGAAAATCTTAGCGATTCAATCACTTTTTGGCAAGTAAAATGCCATTTTAGTTGTCTACAATTAAATCATCAATAAAGAATTCAAAGATATTTTGAGGCATTTCTTATAGGTAAACGGGAGGGTGTAGTCTATTTGGCAAGTGACAATCTTAATTTTATGTGCTGAAGTGCTTTTATCTTGTTACTTTTAAATATAGCAACGTAATGAATAGCAACTTACACAGTGTCATTAAAGCCAAAGCTTGATCATTTTAAATACTTTTTTTCAAGTAAAAATGTGCCCCAAACTAGTTAACTGTGGCTCCATGTCAAGTGGACTAAAGAAAGGAAGGGGAAAAAATTTTATCGCTGGAGAATTGTTTATTTCCATTTATACAACGTTTACATTCAATACAGGGTGCCATTTTACATTGTTTATTTATTTTTTTTAGTATCAAGGCTGTAACATAAAGAAAGCCAGTTCTTACCACAAAGTTTGTGGCACAAACCATCTTTCAATCGCAAATATTGCAAAAAGGATTAATATATCCTCATTGTGAACGTTTAAGATAAATAGCAACACTTAAAACAACTTCAGAACTGGAAAAACTAATGTGGCAAGGTGCAGAAAGGAGTGCCCAGGCGGGATTCGATCCCCAGACTCCCGGGTGAAGGTCATACGCTCTAACCAGTCAGCCAAAGGGACATCTCCTTGGCCAAGTAGCCAGGGTGCATCATCAATCGGGATATTGTGGATGCTCACACGACACAGCCACCTCTTCCTCCCTCTTTCCACAAGCACGTCCTCGTGCTCCCGCGCAGGCTGCCACAAACACTGCCACACTAATATCCGCGATAAACATCTGTTTAAGTACCGGAAGAGGTTATCTTTGCTTTCTGAATGTCCATATTGCTAGATATGCTGAGTTTTAGGGCGAAATCCTGGGGAATTTTGTCTAGAAATGCAATTACCTAACCGTGCGCGATCCCGCGGTGGCTAATCATTTTTTGGCAGCGAGTCAATTTATGGCACAACACCGGCTCGGGTTTCTCCACCTCCTCCCTCTTTTCTTCTCCAACCTGTCGCTGGGCTGAGGCTCCATCACTTCCTAAATTGATCTTACTTGAACCTTCACTACCAAACAACTGTGAGATTTTAACACATGTGCCAGCATCAGCCTGAAGGGCCAGTTTCTTTTTTAGTCGAATTTTCTCCGCTTCTCCTTTCCGTTTTTTGTTCTCCATTTTGTAAAGCTCGTCTGTCTGTTTACTGAGATTCACAAACAACTGGCGGGTGCATCAGACCTCTGGCTATTGGTCCAGCCCAGAGTGTATTATTACCAATTGGCCAATCCACCAACTTTTACGAGGCGTCGCGTGGGGCGGCGCGGGCAAGTTGTCCGCAACAACTAGAGGCCAGGAAAAAAAAAAAAAAAAACAGACACCGGCCCATAAAAGATGAAGGGGTCGGCCCAGCGGGCAGTTGCCCGCTATGCCCTATGGTCAGTCCAGCACTGCTTGTACTGCTTCGTTTTCACACAGAACAAGACCCCCCCCCCACACACACACACACACGCGCATGTGCGCACGCACACACACACACACACACACATACACACACACACACAGCCTGAAGCGCAGAATACGGAATGCAGAATATCAGCAGGGGGACAGATTGAGACAGAATGTCATGCGTCTGTGACAGTGTGTGTGTGTCCTGTCACTGTGACCCGATTCTTTCTATATATCTCCGACCACTGGGCAAAATCCTAAATCGGCGCAGTCTTAACTATCACATCTATGCTGATGACTGTCAAATATACGTGGCACTAAAAATGGAAATGTGGACTCTCATCTTGCGGTATGTCTGGCAGATGCAAAGGGCTGGCTAGCGGCCAATTTCCTCAGGCTGAATGATTTAAAGACTGAGTCCATTGTCTTTGATACCCGCAATCCTTCTGGCTCTCATTCCACTTTTGATGGTTTAAACCCCAAGCAGTGTGTAATAAGCCTCGGGGTAAAAATGGATGCCAACCTTTCAATGACTCCTCAGATCAACTCAGTGGTGAGGTCTTGTTTTTATCAGTTACGCCGCCTATCTCGTTTCAGACCGATCGTAAAGAGGAAGCACTTGGAATCAGTCATCCACGCTTTCATCACCTCCCGCTTAGACTACGCTAACGCATTATTAGTTGGAACTCCTGTCTCTGCCTTGAACCGGTTGCAGGTTGTCCAAAATGCCGCTGCTTGGTTTTTAACAAACACAAGCCGACACAGCCGTATTACACCAGTCCTGGAACATCTTCACTGGCTCCCCATCACATTTCGTGTGTGTTTTAAGATCTTGATGTTTGTTTTTAAAGCCCTACACGACCTAGCTCCTCCTTACCTGACCAACCTGCTGACTCCCTATGTACCTACTCGTATGTTGAGGTCAGCTGACCGTCTACTGCTTTGCACTCCCCAGATGTCCTACAAATCACAAGGTGAACGTGCATTTGTCCATGCTGCCCCCATGCTCTGGAACTCACTGCCCATTACAGTCAGGCTGGCATCCTCTCTGCCTGTCTTTAAATCTCGTTTAAAAACCTACTTTTATGACTTGGCTTTGAGACAGTGATTCATGTCATCCTGTTATGATTTTATTGTTGTGTTTTATCTTCTTATTGTTTTTACTTTTGTTTGAATTGATCCTGCCTGTTCAGCACTTTGGTCAGCTCTCACGCTGTGTCTTAAATTGTGCTACAGAAATAAAGTTGGTCTGGTATGGTACTGTGACACGATTGATCATGCGCCCTGGATACTTGTACGGGGGAGATCTCTGTTTGGGTGACTGGTTAGCACGCGTGACTTTCACCTGGGAGTCTGGGGATCGAATCCTGATTGGACCATGTTTTTATATCCGACACAGATCTCTCTGAAGAACTCAGCATTGACGGCTTCAGCAACGCTGTGCCACTCCGTGGATTTTCTCTTATTTGTTTTGCAAAAGCACTTCCTTTCATTTTTCCACCGCACCCACAGGTACCTCAATTTCTGCTTCTGTGAAATAGCGCTTCCATGATCTGCCTTGATCTACGGCCGGCATCGTCATTGGCGGAGTGCTGCAACAGCCGACGGACGAATATGCATGAGCTCCACAAGGCACTTTGCACTGACCATTTATGGCAGTAAGTGGGCGTAGTGAGGGCGGGATGTGACTAAAAAGCAGCTGAGAACCTTTCTAG